ATCCCCGCTGGCACCCGTCCCACCGCTGCACCCTCTGTGGCGGCTGCAGGAGGACCGTGCTCCTCCTCGCCTTCCTCCCCACAGCGGGGACCCCGAGGGCACCGCTTCCAGCCACCAGCACCCCTGAGGGTGGCTGCGCAGGAGGGGGCATTGGGGGATTCCAGCACCATGGTGGGGAGCGGCAGTTGGGGCCGCATGGGGATGCCCAGTCAGAACAAGAGTGATTGAAGTCCACTGATCAGAGCTGCAGTGCTCAGTGTTTGGGATCCTCAGGCTGGGAACCTGGCAGTCCGGTGTTGATTTGGGGCTGGGTTCTCACAGCAGCGAGGCACAGGCAGCAAGCAGGGATTTCCCTCATCCCCGAGGACGCTTGGCTGAGCGCTGTCTCCTGTGTCCCTTCCAGGCGGCATGAGGAACACAAAAGCCAGTCGCTTCCCCTGGCCAACAGTGGTAGCTGTCCTTCTCCTCTTCTGCAGTTTTCTGATAGCTTTGGGCATCAGGAAATGGTGTCAGTACCAGAAAGAGATGTAAGTACCAGGGAGGGGACTGCAGGGGTGGGAGAGGTGACACAGGGGACAGCATAAACTCTAACCCAGCCATTTGGATTTATACATTTTTATTTGAGACCACCCATAGTGCACAAGGCCTTCAAGTACATGGATGGCTAATGTCGTTTTTTTTCATACGGCAGTACGAAACGCCAGTCCTTTCAACTTATCTATAAAATAAACTTTAAAGACAGAGCTGCGGTGCAGCTCCAGGGTGTGAGGGAGGAATACAAGTCATTATTTTTCCCCAGAGCCCCCCACTTCTATTAGCTTCCCTGCCAGCTGCGTTTACTCTCTCCTTTTGCATGGTTACTTGAGGACATCTTTTAATGGAATTGTACTTGTAGGGCGACTCTGTTCGAGTTGTGAATAATATATGTGAAAGTAGGCCACCTGAAACTTAATTCCAGTGAAAGAAGCATTGAGTTTGTAATTATTACCAAAGTTTAATTCCCTACTAAAGCACTCGGAGATCTACTGATGGAAGCAGTGTCTAAGAGCCAATTATGTTTAGTCTTACTAACATTACTAAAATGTTTGAAAAATTCATGGTGATCATGAATCATTTGTGGTTCTACAAAACCCTTTCGAAACACGACTGCAAATCCTGCATATCAAAAGTAAAAAAAGTAATTGATTTTTTTCACTGTTTTGGGGTGGGATCTTACTTTATTTTGGCCTATAAAGTGACAAAAAAATGTTAGGAGTCTTTAACTATACCTTCAGAGAGCCGTGTGAGCAGAAGACATCTGTGAGGGTTTTGAATGGTTCACTAGGACCGTGATCCATTTTTTCGAAGCATGAATAAAGTAAAATTGCTAAGTGAGAGCTGAGAAAGCCAAATGAATACCGGCAGGTGCATTGGGGCTGTAGAACAGAAACAGGGAAGTTGCGGTATGTGAGAGCAAATGTCAAGTGCTCTTATAATGACTTCGTGTCCATCTACCTCCTCCTGTAAAAACAGACATTTTACAACTGTCTTTTATACGGCTTCTGTGTGATGGCCTGTTTTTTCTCTACTGTTTCAGTATGAACAGACCTCCATCTTTCAAGCCGCCGCCACCTCCCATAAAGTACACATCCATGGTGGAGTCGGATGGGACTCCCCCATCCTGCCACGAACTGGAAAACCTGTAACATTGCCTCTGCACCCCTTGCGCAGCGCGCAGAAGACAGACACAGTTAAAAGGCTCTGTCTTTAAAACAGTGATTACAGGAGTTTGGTGTTAATGACCCATATTAAAATTCAGAGCGCCTGAATGATATTAATGTTGGAAGCTGAGCACTCCTGAGGACACTTACTTCATCCAGTCTATCTCGATGTATGCGTTACGTTAACACCATAGCGAGTGTCACCGTGAGATTACATGTGCTTAATTTGAATTAGGCAGTCAACTGGGTATTTGCTGTCTTGTTAATGGGAGCAGATTAACACATCACTCCGCCAGCCTGCCTGAAGAGTGTTGAAGCTTTGTGTTCTACTACGTGTATAGAGATGACAGTTCTGCCATATGGACACCACGATTAAACGGGAAGCATTGGCTTAACACAAGCTTTTTGATACCTGCATCAGCCATTCTCACAAATGTTAGTTTTTACTATACAAATATTGACTAATATGACCCAATATATAACTGTGAAACCAAACAAAAAATAATTCTCACCTTACACTGAAAGAAAACAGTCTGCATCTGTCATCATGGGGTTACAGCACAGGATCTCGGGGACGTGTTGGTGAGATGACAGGGCACAGTGCAGGCCTGGTGGCAGTGTTTGCGAAGAAGACTCAGTTACCTGTGGTGAAGTCACAAGAATGAGTTGACTCCGGGCTCATGCGCAAGCCATCTGTGGACCAGAGATTTAAAGACTGAAGTGAATAAGGATTCTAAAGGCAATAGGAAGTGCCAGTCCTTTTGGAAGTGCTGTGCCTTTGGAACAGTAATTACTCCTGAGTCTGCTTTTCTGAAATTATATCCACGGTACACGTGAAGAAAAAAAGGAATATAATAATTTTATTCCCCTTTGGTCTTAATGAGCTTCTGTCACTTGCTATCTTCACATTTTTCAAGGCCTCAGGGGTAGCTTCTCAGGTGGCTTAAGCCTCTGGAAGGGACGGTCCAGACTTACCCCTACCCTGCCCGGGCTGCATGTTTCCTCTCATTGGCACTAGAGGTTGAACAAGGGTGGGATCAGCTCAGCCCGCTGCAGGGTTCTCAGCCGGGTCAGCAGCTGCGTGATGTCAACGCCAGGCAGGAGCGCTGCAGCAGGAACGCTGCTTTTGGCAGCTGTGTGTTCTTACATCACCTTCAGCCAGCCAAGAAACTGTCCCTCCAAGCCTGTTGGAAAACGTATCGTTACCACGGTGGTATTTCTGTAATTAATGGAAATCAACTAAAACTCAATCCTGTCAAGCTTAAAATAGGTATTCTGATTTAGGAGTGGGATTTGCTTTATTTACTGCTAAAGACTGGTCGATGAGTATCAGGCTGCAGAGCACCGTATTTCCCAGGGTTTTAGATGGATGACTGACTGACTGGAAAGAATGATCTGACAGACCTTTTTAAAGTATTTGGTGGTATTGTTTACCACGTCACAAGCAGGTCTAAATCCATCACTAAGGGAATATCTGTGCTGAACAGAAAACGCCTTCCTTCCTACAGAGCTGTATGGACTTTGCATGCATGGAAGGCTTAATACTAATCGGAGCATTTCTTGTCTGTGTGGGCTTGCAGAAGCAAAGCAGTTTAACCTCTGTCGTGCCGTCAGTCACTGCAAAAGGAGGCACCTTTTTGTTCTTAAAAAAAGCAGGAAAAAAGGGCCAGACAGCCATATTCCAAGGGATGTGGAGAGCAGGGCTTTCTTCCTTGTGGTTTCCCTCGGAGCCGTGTCCCCGCCCTGCGCCGGGGGGTACCGACGGGCACCGCACCCGCGCTCCCGCC